GCAATGACCCCGAACTGTTCCTTGACTCCTTTTAGCCACAGCTGGAGTTGGAGTGGCTGAGACACAGTGTGCTGGATCCTGAGGCTGCGCAGAGCAGCAGGGCCCTGGGCCTAGCCCAGGAAACCATTTTTCCTTCCTAGGCCTCTGGGCCTGTGATGGAAGGGGCTGCTGTGAAGATCTCTGACATGCCCTGGAGACAATTCCTCATTGTCTTGGCTATTAACATTCAGCTCCTCATTACTTATACAAATTTCTGTAGATGGCTAAAATTCCTCTCAGAAAATGGGTTTTTCTTTTCTACCATATAGTTAGGCTGCAAGTTTTCCAAACTTTTATATTCTGTTTCCCCCTTTTTTTTTCTGTCCATAAGTTTATTGTCTTTATTTGAAAACCCTTATAGAAAATTGGTTTAGCTCTCAGCAGTCTGCTCCTGAGCTCTGAGGAAGCCTGTCTTCTTTTGAGCTACCTAATCTTTCTTCTGAGCAAGGGACATTTTGGGATGGTTCCACTTCTTCTTTCTAATTTCTTTCTTGGGCTTCTTTTTGTAGACTGGATTCTCTCATATAGCAGCAAGAGCTTTCTTATACATTTCCATCATGTCTAGAGTTATACTCTTCTTTATGTATTGAGAGAACTGTTTCTTGTAAGCATCTTCATCTTCTTCCATTAAGTAGCATATGTAATCTGCAACATTCTGGCCCATGATGTGCTTCTGGTGTACTTCTGAATTAAATTCTTCACTTTCAGAATCATAACCAGGGAATCATTTGGTACTGTGAGGGATACAGAAGTCTCCATCAACAGCTCCCTTCAGGGCACCAAAAACTTTATTGTCAGTGGTAGTTCTGGCAAAGGCCTGCATCCAAACAGCAGGTAAAGGCACCCAGATGACCATCAATGCTTTCCACATTGTATTCATTGCCAGTCATCTTCACTTGGCCTTCATAGATCTTGTCCACATCAAACCTTTTGAGAAGCCTGTGGGTCAGCAGCAGGCCAGTATAATATGCTGCAGCATAATTTGTCAGGTCAACCTTCACACTATATTTTGGCAGTTCAAGTGCAGATGCTGCACAGACTATCATATCCCCCTCTATACAGGCATAAGCAATCTGACAAATGATACCTCTTTTTGTTACATGAACGATCATCCTATATTTGGGTGTGTTGTATTTATTTTTATCCTGTATCACCAAGCATTTCTGAGCACAGTAATCATTTTTACCCTCTCATCGTCTTCTAAATTTCACTTGGTATCTCTCAAAGTAGGCCTTATTCTTAACAACTTTAACAAACCCCATCCTGTGGAACAGAGACCTCTGCTTCCCTTTCAAACATAAGTTCCAATTTTGAACCATCTCTCTGTGAGTGCATATAGCTGAATGCTTTCAGAATCAGCCAGGCCACATCTTGAATGCTTGGCTGCTTAGAAATTTCTTCTGCCAGATACCCTAAATAATCTCTCTCAAGTTCAAAGTTCCACAGATCTCTAGGGCAGAGATAAAATGCTGCCTGTATCTTTGCTAAAGCATAGCATAAGTGACCTTTGCTCTATTTCCCAAAAAGTTCCTCATCTGTATCTAAAACTGCCAGAGGCTTTCGAGCAAAGCAACTCCATTTTGAGTGAGGGCTAGGAAAATGAGGCTGAGACTTGCTGGGCTACATTTCCAGAAAATTAGGTGTTACTAGCCTCTAGATGTTTTTGGTTAAGGGAACAAATTTATGATGTTTATTGAAACAGACCCAGACTTGGGATTTTCCAGATATCCTGATATCTGGAGAACAAGGACATTCCTAATTTTGCTTTAAAGATAATAATATTGATTCTTATAAAATATAGTAATTAAGAAAATTAATCCTTTATCACAAACCCTTGTAGCAGAGCACATCTCCCCAAGAGCTATTTTTATCCTATAAATATACAAGCATTGTACCTAGGGTGGAAGGGTTCCTCTTCTTACTTTCAGGAACATCCTACTCTGTCTATGGAGTAGCTGTCCTTTCACTGCTTTACTTTCTTAATAAACGTGCTTTTACTTTGCACTGTGGACTAACCCTGACTTATTTCTTGTGTGACATCCAAGAACCCTCTCTTGGGGTCTGGATCAGGACCCCTTTTCAGTTAACAAAACCACCTCAGCCTGGACTTCATTGTCTATGTCACTGTCAGCATTTTGGTCGAAACCATTTAACAAGTCTCTAAGAAGTTCCAAATTTTCCCGCATCTTTCTGTCTTCTTCTGAGTTCTCCAAACTATTCCAACCTCTGCCTGTTGCCCAGTTCTAAAGTCACTTCAACATTTTCAGGTTATCTTCATAGCATGACCACACTCCTAGTAACAATTCTCTGCATTAGTCAATTTTCACACTGCTATAAAGATACTTACCTGAGACTGGGTAATTTATAAGCAAAGAGTTTTAACTGACTCACAGTTCTGCATGACTTTGGAGGCCTCAGGAAGTTTATGATCATAAATAAAGGTGAAGGGGAAGCAGACACCTTCTTCACAAGGTGGCAGGAGAGACCTAGTGAGTGCAGAAAAAACTGCCACTTTTAAAACCATCAGATCTTGTGGGAACTTCCTAACTATCACAAGAACAGCATGGGAGAAACCACCTCCATGATCCAATCACCTCCCACCAGGTCCCTCTCTTGACATGTAGAGATTACAATTTAAGGTGAGATTTGGGTGAGGACATGGACCCAAACCCATATCACATCCCAATCTTGCTTATTTCCTTCCTTCTGCTTGTTTTAGATTTAGTTTACTGTTTTGTTTTCAGTGTCTTAAAATTGGAGGTCCTATTATTGATTGGAGATTTTCTTGTATAGGTATTTACAGTTATAAATTCCCCCTTTAACCATTGTTTTAGCCATATCCCATACTTTTTTTGTTGTGCTGGGTTTTTGTTTTCATTCATTTCACAGATTGTCTTTTTTTCCCCGCTGTCTTCTTAAGCTATAATTGACAAAAATTGTTTATATTTATGGTATACAATGTGATGTTTAAACATATGTATACATTGTGAAATGTTTAAGCCAAAGTAATCAACACATTTAGCACTGTATATATTTATCTTTTTTGTGTGTGTGGCGACAGCATTTAAAATATACTCTCTTAGCAATTTTCAAGTATACAATACATTATTAACTATGGTCACCATGGCTGTACAATACATCTCCATAACTTATTCATCCTAATTGAAATATTATACCTTTAGACCAACATCTCTACATTTTCTTCCACCTCACTCCCACCCTAGCCCCTGGTAACTACTATTTTACTGTCTGCTTCTATGAGTTGAACTTCTTTGGATTCCACATGTAAGTAATATCATACAGTATTGTCTTTCTCTGCCAGGATTATTTCAGTTAGCATAAAGTTGCCAAGTTCCCTCATGTTGTTGAAAATAACAGGAATTTTTTATTACTTAAGCCTAACTAGTATTCTATTGTACATATATACCACATCTTCTTTATCCATTTATCCCTCAATGGACACTTAGGTTAATTCCATATCTTAGTTATTGCGAATGATGCTACAATGCACATGAAGGTGCAGATATCTCTTTGACATACTGATTCTACTTCCTTTGAATAAAGAAAATATGGCCCAGCCTGGTGGCTCATGCCTGTAATCCTAGCACTTTGGGAGGCTGAGGCGGGTGGATCGCTGGAGGTCAGGAGCTCGAGACCAGCTTGAAGAACATGGCAAAATCCCGTCTCTACTAAAAGTACAAAAATTAGCCAGGCATGGTGGTGGGCAACCGTAGTCCCAGCTACTTGGCAGTCTGAGGCAAGAGAATCGCTTGAACCCGGGAGGCGGAGGTTGCAGTGAGCCGAGATCATGCCACTGCACTCCAGCCTGGATGACAAGAGTGAGACTCAGTAAAAAAAATTTAAAAAAAAAATACATTTTTTTTTCTTTGTGTATATGCTACAGGTTTTTAAAACTCAGAAGTAAAAATGCTGGCTCATATGATCATTCTATTTTTAATTTTTTCATGAACTTCCGTATATTGTTTTTCATATGGCTGTTCTAATTTACATTCCCACCAACAGTGTGTTAGGGTTTCCTTTTCTCCACATCTTTGCCAACACTCATTATTTTTTGTGTTTTTGATGATAGCCGTTCTAACAGGTGTGGGGTGATAGGTTCTTGGGGTTTTGATTTTCATTTCACTGATGATTACTGATGCTGAGCATTTTTTCATATACATATTGCCATTTGTATGTTTTATTTAGAGAAAAGTCTTTTCAAGAGCTTAGCTCGTTTTAAAATCAGGTTACTTGCTTTCTTGCTATTATTTGATTTCCTTATATACTAGAATTTTTTATGGGGGGGTATTTCAGTTTCTTACCCTTATCATCAAGACTCACTGCCTCCCATCATCAATATTTATTGAGCATTTACTGTGTACTAGGCACAACAGAACATACAGAAAACATTGTCCCTGCTCTTGAGAAGCTTACATTCTAAAAAGGTGTAGAAAAGAAGCTTACATTTTAAAGAGGTGTAGAAAAAATCCACCTCTTTTAAAATGGCATTTTTGTTTGGTGTTTTCTGCAAAGTACTGAGGAAATATTTTGAAAAGTGTCTTTAGGTATAACTTAGCCCCATCATTATTTGGAGAATAGAGGAAGAGAAAGAGGAAGGATTTGAAAGACAGACAATGACAGGTCATTTAGGATAGGTAGGGTTTTAAAGGGAGATAAACACAATCTCATCAATTAAGGAGAGATGAGCTGCAGTAAATAGGATGAGGGAAATAGTTCATGGGATGCAAGCAAAGGAAGCAGGGTGTCTTAGACATTGAGTGGAGCCAGAAAGATCATGCGGCCTTTTTCCAAGTACATGGCCAGCAAGTAGGAATGGTTTTTTTAGTAGAGACGGGGTTTCACCATGTTGGCCAGGCTGGTCTCGAACTCCTGACCTCGTGATCCACCTGCCTCAGCTTCCCAAAGTGCTGGGATTACAGATGTGAGCACTGCACCTGGCCGAGATCAGGCTTTCTCTAGGGAGTTCAGAGTCTCATAATAGAACACAGAGAAGTTAAGGGCCAGACCCAATCTGATAGGATGTGTTGGTTGCATTTCCTTTTTGCTGATTTCAAAAGCTTCTTGGTAGGATTGTTGTGACTGATTCACAATCCCTTTCTTGTCATCACTAGCCGCAACCTCAACCAAGTAACGGTAGTAATCTCCTTTCATTTTGAAATAGAAGACTTTGCTCTCTGCATGTGAAGCATTGGGGATCAAGACCTTTTCCAAAAGAGACAGTACATCATTACAGATATCTATTAGCTCTGTCTCAATTTTCTTTGTGTTGTCGGGCCATCTGCTGTTTTTTCTCAGCACCTTCCATCTTTTGTTCAATAATTGAAACGACCTTCAAGATGACCTATGGGCTCCTACAACATTTTTGCAAGCAACTGAGAGAAGGTTCCTCTCCTCACTGGATAATTGGGCTTCTCGCTCTGTTACAGATTTCATGCAGGCTACCATGTCATCATATCGCTCAGCCTACTCGGCCAGTTTGGCCTTCTGAACCAGCTCATTTTTATCCATGATTAGATGTTCTGTTTCTGGATTGGGTGGTGGCGGCAGACCAATGGGGGCTCAGCAGTCTCTGGGGGGCAGCAGTGGTGGCAGTGGGAGGCTCGATTTCCTTATAAACTAGAATATTCACCCCTTTTAAGAAGTATGGTTTGCAAATATTGTCTCCCATTCCACAGCTGGTCTATTTACTCTACTGAGCCTTTTTTGTGCAGATAGATGCTTTTTATTTTGATGTAGTCCCGTTTGTCTACTTCTGCTTTTGTTGTCTATGCTTTGGGGTCATATTTTTTAAAAACCACACCCAGATCCATATCAAGAAGCCTTTTTACCTTTTTCTGTTTTTCTCCTCTTAGTTTTACAGTTTCATGTGTTACATTTAAGTATTTAATCCATTTTAATTTGATTTTTTGATATAGTATGAGATAAGGATCCAATTTTATTTTCTGTATGTGGTTATCTAGTTGTCCTAACACCATTTATTAAAGAAAGTGACCTTTCCCATTGTGTCTTCTTGGTATCTTTGTCAAAGATGAATTGACCAAAAATGTGTAGATTCATTTCTGGCTCTCAATTCTGTTGTATTGGTTTACACATGCATTTTTATATCAGCACCATGCTGTTTTTTGTTAACTTTGTAGTACATTTTGAAATAAAGTAGTGTGATGCCTCTTGCTTTATTCCTTTTTGCTTATGATTGCTTTGGCTATTTGAGGCTTTTGTGGTTCCATACAAATTTTAGGATTGCTTTTCCTATTTCTGTGAAAAAATGTCATTGGAATTTTCATACGAATTGTATTGAATCTCCACATTTCTCTGGGTAGTATGAACATTTTAACAATATTAATATCTTTAATCCATGAAAGTGAAATACGTTTCCATTTATCTGTGTCTTGTTCAACATCATCTATCAATGTTTTATAGTTTTCAGTGTGTAGGTATTTCATCTCTTTGGTCAAATTTATTCTTATTTTATTCTTTCTAATGCTATTGCAAATGAGATTGTGTTGTTAACTTCTTTTTATTGATAGCTCATTGTTAGTGTATAAAAATGCAACTGATTTTTACTTGTTGATTTTTATTCTGTAACTTTATTGAATTTGTGGGTTAGTTCTAAGAGTTATTTGGTGGAGTTGTTAGGGTTTTCTACATACAAGATTATGTTATGTGCAAACAGATAATTTCACTCCTTCCTTTCCAATCTGCTTGTCTTTTTTTTTTCCTGCAATTGCTGTGGCTAGGACTTCCTGCATTATATTGAATAGAAAGGGCAAGAGTGGGCACCCTTATCTTGTTCCTGATCTTAGAAGAAAAACTATCAGTTTTTCACTATCTAATATGACATATTAGCTGTGAACTTATCACATATGGTCTTTATTATGTTGAGATACACTCCTTCTGCTATGGTTTGAATATTTTTTCCCTCCAAAACTCATGGTGAAATTTAATCCTCACAGTGGCAGTACTGAGAGGTGGGGCTGAGCCCTCATGAATAGACTAATCCATTTATGAATTAATGGGTTAATAGATGATCATGGGAGTAGGACTGGTGGCTTCACAAAAAAGGAAGAGAGATCTGAGCTAGCATCTTCAGCTCCTCCCCATGTGATGACCTGAGTTGGTTAATGACTCTGTACAGAGTTCCTATCAGCAAGAAGGCACTCACCAGATACAACCCCTGCCCTTGGACTTCTCAGTCTCTATAACTGTGAAAAATAAATTTCTTTTCTTCACAAATTACCCAGTTTCAGTTTGTTATAAGCCAGAGAAAACAAACCAAGAAACCTTCCATACCTAATTTGTTGAGACAATATGAGGGATATTGGCTTATACTTTTCTTCCTTCCCTGGCGTTTGTAACAAAGTAATGCTGGCTTCATAAAATTACTTTGGAAGTCTTGTCTTCTCTTTACTTTTTTGAAAGAGTAAGAGCAATTAGCGTTAATTCTTCTTTAGGTGTCTGGTAAAATTAACCAGTGAAGCCATCTTGTCCCGGGTTTTTTTTTTTTTTGCTGTTGTTGGTAGTTTTTTTATTATAAATTTAACCTCTCACTCATTACTGGTCTGTTCAAATGTTCTCTTTCTTCATGATTTAATCTTGGTAGATTGTATATTTCTAGAAATTTATCTATTTCTTCTAGATTACCGAATATATTGTTGTGTAATTGTTTATAATAGGCTCTTAGGATCCTTTATATTTCTGTATCCGTTATAATGCTTTCTCTTTCATTTATAATTTTTAGTCTTCTCTTTTTTCACAGTTTAGCTAAAAGTTTGTCAATTTTTGTTTATGTTTTCAAAAAACCAACTGTTTCTTTGATTTCTGTTATTTTTATTATCTCCATTTCCTTTATTTCTGCTCTGATCTTTATTATTTCCTTCTGTAACTTTAGGATTAGCTTCTTCTTTTTCTAGTTCCCTGTGGCATCAAGAAAGGTTGTTCAAGATCTTCCTCTTCTCTTATAGGCATTCATTTGTCTCTATAAACTCCCCTCTTAGAGCTATGTTTGTTATATCCCATAAATTTTGATATTTTTTTCATTTTCCTTTGTCTCAACATTTTTTTTTTATTGTAAAATTTCTTTTGTAACACATTGGTTGTCAGTAGCGTGTTGTTTAAGTTTCATATATTTGCAAATTTTCCAATTTGCCTCGTTATTAATTTCTAGTTTTATATCACTGTGTTTGAAAAAGTTACTTGACATGGCTGGGCGTGGTGGCTTATACCTGTAATCCCAGCACTTTGGGAGGCCGAGGTGGGTGGATCACCTGAGGTCAGGAGTTCGAGACCAGCCTGGTCAACATGGCGAAACCCCGTATCTACTAAAAATACAAAAATTAGCTAGGTGTGGCGGTAGGCATCTGTAATCCCAGCTACTTGGAAGGCTGAGGCAGGAGAATCACTTGAATTTGAGGGGCAAAGGTTGCAGTGAGCCAAGATCATGCGGCTTCACTCCAGCCTGGGTGAAAGGGTGAAACTCCATCTCAAAAAAAAAAAAAGAGAAAGTTACATGACACGACTTCAAGCTTCCTAAATGTGCTAAAACTTGTTTTGTGGCCTAACACAGGATCTATCCTGAATAATGTTATGTGCACATAAGAAGAATGTGTATTCCACTAGTGTTGGATGGAATAATCTGTATGGTTCTTAGTTCTATTTGGTCTACCATGTTATTCAACTCTGCTGTTTCTTTATTTTCTGTCTAGATGATCTATCTATTGTTGCAAATAAGATGTTGAAGTCCCCTACTATTATTATATTGCTGTCCATTTCTTCCTTCAGTTCTGCTAATATTTATCTATTTAAGTGCTTTGATATTGGGCACATATGAATCTATGATTAATACATCCTCTTGGTGAATTGACCCTTAGATCATTTTATAATGACCTTTTCTCTTGTGAAACTTTTTGACATAAAATATATTTTTTCTGATAGAAATTTAGCATCCCTGTTTTCTTTTGGCTACTGATTACACGGAATATTTTTTCCATCTCTTTATTTTCAGACTGTATGTGTCCTTAAAGCTAAAACGAGACTCTTAGAGAGAGTGTATAGTTGAATTTTATTTGTTTTTGCATCCATTCAACCACTCTATTTTTGATTGGAGAATTTAATTTACATTTAATGTAATTATTGATAGGTAAGGAATTACGATTGTCTTTTTGACTGTTTTGTAATTTCTTTATTCCATTCTTCCTCCTTTGATGTCTTCCTATGTGATTTTTTTTGTGGGGGGAGGGCGACGGAGTCTCACTCTGTTGCCCAGGCTGGAGTGCAGTGGTGCAATCTCAGCTCACTGCAATCTCCACCTCCCGGGTTCAAGTGATTCTCCTGCCCCAGCCTCCAGAGCAGCTAGGACTACCGGCACCCACCACTGCGCCCGGCTAATTTTTGTATTTTTAGTAGAGACGGGGTTTCGCCATGTTGGCCATGCTGGCCTTGAACTCCTGACCTCAGGTGGTCCACCTACCTCAGCCTCCCTAAGTGCTGGGATTACAGGTGTGAGCCACCGTGTCTGGCCAAGTCCTGTAGCTTTCTAATTCCACTCTTCAGCTAAGGCATAGGAATTTTTCTGTAAATTTTCTGAGTGCCCATGGCCTAAATTCACAGCCATCAGAGATACTATAGCTCTTCTCAGTGGCTCTGCAATGAAGCACTAGAGTACATTAACCTCTAGTTTGCAGTTTAGCACAATGTTTATTGCAGTGAAAGATATTTTCATACTAAGTGGTATGTGCAGGTAAACCAAAATGCTATATATATAAATGAGCCCTGAGAATATTATTGGAGGAAAATTTTTTAAATGAGGAAGACTAAATCTTGGGTTAGAAAACTTTCCCTCTTTCTCCATGGCATGCAGAGTAAGTACCAGATATTTTGGTCTCAGCCCTCCTAGATCCCATCTGCCTGTCTTCTCAGGATGCTTAAATATCTTTTCTGTTTAGTCTCAAAGTCTATTCCAATTTATAAGAGTTAATTACTAATGCACATATGGGTATTGGGGGAAATTGCATGAAATACAAACCAATATTAACAGAAGTTATTATTTTGGTGTATTGCCTAACACCACTGAACATATACCTCCCTGCGGATCCCCATCTGCCTCCAATTATACTCCCACAGCTGTGGGTGAATAGGCATTACTTAAGTGGGAGTAAAAAAAATATGCTATTCTATCTGTTAGCCTATTAAATAGTTACAGTACTGAAAATATGTCTTTTGTGCCACCCTCCTGGAATTTTCACCAGCTGCCAAGCTTTTTCCCACCTCCAAATTCTTATTGGGCTTTGTTCCTCTTTTAATAGCTTTCATGTAATTTTTTTTACACATTTTATCTCAACTTGTTGTCAGTACTTATTGAGATATAATTGAGAACTGGCAAGTAACCAAATCCTTGGAAAAAAGACAAAGCACGAGATAGTATCAACAAACAAATTTCACCCTTTTTTTCTATTTACTTAAGCAAGCTACTACCAGGGAGGTTTCCAAACATGTCCAACAGTTAAGCCGTCGTATCTACAGCTTCCACCCTGGAAGGCTGTAGTATCACATAACCATATACATACTTACAGCATAAATCATATATCTAATCATCCCCACTCACTCTGCAAAATGGTAAATTCTCCCAAATTATCATTTAATCAAGCGACTTTCCTGTTCAAGAGTGTAATGGCTTAAAGTGCTTATTATATAACAAACTGGAATTAAATATGGTACTTCTACTAATGACTTCTTCCAATCAGTCCAAACTGGGTTCCCACTTATTCCCTATGATATACATCTCCGTATCGTAAAACTTTATCCTTTCTGCTCGGCGTGTTGGCACATTCTGTTCCTCCCACTAGAATATTTCCTGCACTTATTCAAATCATACCTATGACCATTGCAGAACTCCAGGCACATGATCATTCCATCCAAACCCCTGTGCTCAGAGACTTGACCAAACTCTAGCACAGCTTTAGCAGCATAAGGTCCTGTGCCCAGGACGACTGCCTCAGTAAGCTGAACTACGTGATGTAACCAGCACAGAACTGATGATAGGTCTCTGACATCCCTTTCTTAGAACATTTACTAAAGGGCCTACAATTGTAAATACTTATTTCTTGCTACTCAGAAGTTCTCGCTCAAGGACCAGAGAGCCATTCCCTGGAAATGTAATCAAGAAGGATAAAATCCTCCGTAGGAGGATACAATCCTGCGGTAACTGTGGAAACACACACACACAGCTGGCCTAATCACATTTACACTAACAACTCTGTAGGTTCACTTTCTCTACTGAGCGCCCGCATATCCCCTTTCTCCTTTTAAAAGGCCCCTTTAAAAACGCCCAGGTCACCTGTGCACAAATCGAAATAGTGCTCAGCTCTTTCCTGTCAGTAGTTAACAGAACAAATGTCTTCACCGCTTTAACGTCCAGCTGCGCTTATCTTTGACATCGACTACCTAAGGTCTACCCTTAGTCCCACGACTCTGACAAAACGATCTCAATATTGGCGTAAAATGACCTCCCCTTTCAAGGATCTTCCAAAGCACTTCCTGTCTGAGGCATACAAAATGTATTGGCACGGAATTTTACACTTATTGAGCTTTATAAACACCTCGTCACATCCACACATTCAGGACACACACTAGGTATTCGGGTAAAAACAAAAAACAAACAAACAAAAACACAAAAAAATTGGCTAAATACCCATTCCCCTCAATAACTCGGATGAGATATCTAAAAAGGGTCGACCTTCGGTACCTTTCTGTCCTCTCCCCTCTCGCTGTTTGCCTACACTGGCTTCCTTGCCTCCCCTTTTTCCCACGTTTATCGGAGCCAAAACAAGCACGGTTCAGCAGCCTCCTTTCCCAGCCCTAACCCTGTGCTGCAAAAGCGAAAATTCCAAGCCAAGAACAATACGAGACCGCCCACCCGGGCTCACTCGCGACACTAGGGGGAGCGATACGGCTGCAGGAAAGGGGGAGCCTCGCGGCAGAGGCGGGATTTCCGGGGTCACGGGAACCGGCAGGGGAACAGGATAAAGTCCTCAGAGAAAGGAAAAGGAGCGTGGGATAGTAAAGGCGGCGACGCGAAGAGGAGGGGACATACAGGAACGGAGGACAGGCGCGGAGGAAGTTCCCGGGGGGAGCAGAAACAAAGGCACGCAAAGCGGAAGAGCGTGTGTAAGGTAGCGGAAAAGGAAGTCACCGCCGCGGCCTGCGGGGCTACGAGGTCGTAAGGGTTGGCCTTAGCGCTTCAGTTTAGTGTTGTTAGTGGGAGAATCCTAAAATGTCGCCGTGGAATGGACTGTAGCGCTCGCTTCTCCAAACGTGTCCCAGACGGCGAGCCTCGCCGGCTCTGCGGCTTGTCCCTTGTAAGCGCCGCGCAGGCCTGCCACCTGCTGGACGTGGAGACGCGGTGCTAAGCGCCACGGGCCGACTGTACGCCGGGCGGGGAAGAAGGGCTCGGGGAAGAGATGAATCGGTCTTCGCAGAGCGCGCCGGGAGATCGCGAGATTACACTTTCAAAAGCATAAGGAGGCTTGCTTTCTACACACTTTAATTTCGGAGTACGTTCGAGGCCCTGTGCTAAGTTAGGTAATGTTCCCTGTGACTTCTGTAATTGTCTTTTATGTATTAAATTGTCTTGCATAACTAAAACTTTTCCTGTATCATGCCGCCAACTTTTCAAGAACGAAAGATGAGCAACTCCATTCTGGTAGAGGTTTTTTCATTGGAGAATTTTTGAGCTGCAGTAATCCTTTTAACGCTGCACACACATACAGGGGTTACACGTGTAGGGGATTAAAACCACAGTTAAGTTATAGGTTGAAGGGGCTGTTAAGGACTTCAGGCAACATCTAAATAAACACTCCGTTCTTTTCTCTGTTCCACATCTGGGAGCCTCCTGTATAGCACCTGTTGCTCTAGGTGCTAGAGGTACGCAGAGGAACTGGACAAGGGCAAGAAAAACAAAGGACCCCTTTCGAAGAACTAGCGTTCTCTTGGGAGAGACAAGCTTGTGGTGAGAAGTGTATTTGTGAAATCTACGAGGGCAGGGGAGGAGCGCAGTAATAAAACGGGTGATCCTTTCTTGGTTTCTTATTGGGTTCTGGCCTGAAAGGCGACCGTATAATCAGTTGAGATTACTGCAGTGATTAACATTCCAGGAAGGGAAGCCAGCCTGTGAAGGAGCATGGCGTTGAGACAGGGTGAGTGGTGAGATTAATAAACAGGATAGTTGGAGAGTTGATTTGTGGCCAAATTCTTAAGTCCCTGTATGGAATTTACGCTTAAGAAAATTATCCTTGGGCACTGCAAATACCCTCTTGCAGCTAAGACTAATGGGAAGAACTGGTTAAAAAACTAATTACAGCAAAGAGTGAGAGAGTGGTGATGAGAGATACAGATGTTGTGAGAGCAGACAATAAGGGGACTTTATGTAGTCCTATGTTAGAGGAGATGATTTGAAGTTACTCTGAGGAAGACAAAAATGTAACGGGAAGGGAGATCGCATATGCGAAAGCTTGAAATGGCGAAAAAATCAGAAGGATTTCAGGAACTGAAAGTTGTGCATTTTGCCTGTGTGAGGGAGAGTGTTGTGGGTGGCATGTAATGAACCTTGAAAGGTAGTTTATATTATGACAGCCTACAACCGAATCAAAACTTTTAAAAACAGGCGATATACAGTCAGTCTGAAATCAAATGCTTCTGATTTCTATTGCGTGCTCTAGGCTAATTGTTTTCTAAGTATGAGTTTGCCTTAGTCTTCTGGATTTAGTGATTACAATATAAGGTGAAATAGGTAAGGGCTTTTAAGAGAAAATCTCACTTATTTCCTGTGCACTAAGGGGGAACAGATCACCTTTGCAGAACTTGAAAAAAAATGGAAAGTGCGACCTTTGATCTCAGATGGGCTTTCTTTCCTCTTTTCAGTGGCTTGGTAGTGAGCTGCTCAGCTGCACCGAATCTTCTTTGTGGTGGGGCTGCGGGCTGCAAGACATCCTGCTTGGCAAGTTTTAAACATAAGTTTTACCCCGAAGAAAGCTTATAAAATTGTAAATGCCTCAGAATCTTTTCATCTTCCTGTGATTCTGGAAGAAATCCAAAATACCAATCGTTTAACTACGTGCTTCTACAGAACCTGAATCTTAAGCTGTGTTCACTTTGTACTATTAGATTCTATAGTAGATTAATAATGACTAACACCTTGTCATCTCATCGCTGAGCTTTTGTCTAAGATAGTCTCTGAATTTAGAACTGGGATGAAAGTATACATAATAGGCTATTATAAAATTTTTAGAATTGGATTTCTAAACTTGGGGTCAATGAATCTAGCAGGCTCAAGCAGTGTTCTCAGGTTTTTTGGCACAGACAAGGAATGTAAGAGGAGGAGAGAAAAGGAGAGATGGTAGTGGGAGAGAATAGAATGAGAGAAGAGAGAAAATATGGAATTAATAGTGAAAGGAAACGTGAAGTATTATAAGATTTTCTTGGAAAAATTGGCATTTCAGTGATAGATCAAAGATGACTAATGAGACAAAATACTACTATTACATAAATATTTAATGTTTTAATGATTTGAGGATAAAAGGATATCTGATGGCATTCATACTAAATGCTGTAGTGTTGATGTTGGTGAGAGGGATAATGTATCAAGACAGAGCAGACAGACCCCTTTAAAATGAGAGCAGAAGATATGTTGTTTACTGATTCTACTTTCCCACAAAATGCTAATGCTTTTGTAAGTCCCTACTCTTTATTTTCTAGATTAACTCCTTGTTTCTTCCCCTAAACAGGATTATGGAAGACAGGCAAAAAGGAAAAAAAAAAAGTTTTTTTTAAAGCAACCATCTATGTCCTTATCAGGTTTCTTTAGCACTTTCATTCTGAAGATATTATCAAGGTGGAAATCAGGGCCTCTGCCCCACGTGGATCTCCTTCATTGAATTGTATCTTCATACCTGATTAATGGCATATTTTAGGCGAAAGCACCCAGGCATACTATATTTGACTGAATATGTAGGCCTTCCAGGTTTATTAACTGAACTGGTACGTGACTTTGACAGCTTCCCTAGACTAGAAGCATTCCTAAGGAACCCTGAGCTCTAGTCTATTTGGCCTTCTTAGAATGGGACACTTCCCAAATTGAAGGCAGCCGTAGCTTGCAGAGAGGAGAGAGGAGGGAGAAAGGGAGAGAGGGAGAAAGCAAGTTCCCTTTGTTGCCTCAGTAAATAGAATGCAGAAGGGAGGGACACATTAAGTCAAGTCTTACCTCAATATGTACTGGGTAAATTGCCTCTCATTCTGAGAAAGTTGTAGAAAGTGTGTCAGGTTATCCTTAACTCATAATACCTAATAGCCTTGTGAGAAAAATCTGTTCAAATAGTTAAAGTAGGAAGAATACCACTAACGAGACCCTTATAAAATATGTATTATATATAGCTATGTAGAATGACTTTGTATTGTCTATTAACCTCATTTTTTTTTTTTTTTTTTGAGACGGAGTCTCGCTCTGTCACCCAGGCTGGAGTGCAGTGGCACGACCTCGGCTCACTGCAAGCTCTGCCCCCCTGGGTTCACGCACTTCCTGCCTCAGCCTCCTGAATACTGGGCTACAGGCGCCCGCCACCACGCCCTGCAATTTTTTGTATTTTTAGTAGAGACGGGGTTCACCGTGTTAGCCAGGATGGTCTCGATCTCCTGACCTCTTGATCCGCCCGCCTCGGCCTCCCAAAGTGCTGGGATTACAGACGTGAGCCACCGTGCCTGGCTATTAACCTCATTTCTTAAAAAGTGTTAATATTTTTATTAGTGATGCAGTAGAGATTATGTTGCATACAAACCCGTTTTGTAAATATGAATAAAACCAGACAAGGAGCTCTTGCCCTCCTTTTCTAAAGAGGAGCAGAGATTCCTCAGCTAGGAGCGATGGAGAAGTTGCGGCTCTTTGGCAAGCTGACCAGAGGCCAGTGAGATTATTTGGCTATGATACCCTCACTTGTAGCTATATCCCTGGGTTTGCATTTTTAAAGAACCCAAGAGTAAAATAGTTCTTCTTTCTCTTTCTTTGAGACAGTCTCTCACTCTGTCACTGTGGGTGGAGTGCAGCGATACGATCTCAGCTCACTGCAATTTCTATCTCTTGGGTTCAAGCTATTCTCCTGCCTTAGCCTCCTGAGTAGCTAGGATTACAGATGTGTGCCACTACACCTGGCTAATTTTTGTATTTTTAGTAGAGAGAGGGTTTCGCCATGTTGGCCAGGCTGGTCTCGAACTCCTGACCTCAAGTGATCTGCCTACTTTGGTCTCCCAGAGTGCTGGCATTACAGGCGTGAGCCACCACGCCTGGCCTGAAATAGTTCTCTTTTCTTATTTTGTAAATACAGATTTTATCTTTAGTTTAGAAAATGATGACTAGGTACCGTATTACCTATATAGTAATAACCACAATATGTGTCATTAAGTTCCACAAAAATTTAATGTAAAATTCTGTGTTAAGAGCTGTGACTAAGATGCAGTCCCTGTCCTGACCACCCCTAAAATTCTACAGCTTATCTCATATGTACCTTTCTGTTATGTTTTCTGGTTGTGCATGATTTTTTAAGAAATATCATTACTTTTAATAAGGACCCTTGCTTAGCTGCCAGACTTGTCAACAAAGAAATTTCAGACATCTATAGGTTGTAATTATTGTCAGTGGGTACTGATGCAATATATAAAGCAGAGTTCTTAAGAAACTAGTTTTGCAACTGGCAGTTTAGGAGACTGGAAGGAATTCCTGGACAGGAAGAAAATATTTCCCGAGAAGTAAATGTAATGTAGCACACATATATAGAGAGTAAAATGTATCAGATGAGTTTAAAGAACAACAAAGTAAATAACTGTGGATGACATTATCTAGGTTAAGAAATAGAATATACCCATCTTCTGAAACTTAACTTTTTCAGCACTGGTTAGGTGACTCAACTGATATTTTTCTTCATTCTTCACATCTGTGTTTCTTTTCTTTCTGGTGAAATGCAATGTAACGTAAATTTCAACTCAGTGAACAAAAGTCATTTGTTATAGAAGTAATATATAGCTGTGAAACACTAGTATTGCACTGTTTCATAACCATAAAAATTCTGGTTACACATATGTAGGATAATTCTGGTTTTATATATGTGTATATGAGTATATACATTTGATATTTACTCCCTAGCAGAGCTGGTATGTTGCTTGATTTTGGTTGTACTTCTGCTTAGAATTTTAAAAATTAGAATGAAAGCCAATAAAGCATCATAATTCCATGCACTGATTTAATGTTATTGTATCCATTTGTACCTAAAGAAAATCCTTAGACTACATGATAAAAGTTTACTGGTGGAAAAAAAAAGATATCCTTTTATGAAGTTAAGCTTATACATTAAGTTTAATGGAACTCTCTAGTAGAGCTCAATAAAAGGAGAGACTTTGCTCTATTTTCAGTTAGATATTTGAGTTATTTTTGCTTTATGTGTGAATGTTTTGTTTCTCTGACAAAACTGCAAACTTTTAAAGATGTTTTGTTTCTCTCTGAAATAGCTCACAATGGGGTGATCACTAATAGGAATTCAGTAAATAGCTGTTGAATTGCTACAGATCTACCTCTCACCAAATGCTCTTAACATATGCATATGTGTCTATACACTTGGATCCCATTTCTTGACCAGGAAAGTCTACATATAAATGTAAATTTAATGGTCCATATGCCAAGAAACTAATAACTGTTTTTATTTCTAAGAATGCAGCCTAATGTCTACTTATCTACTTTAAATACAATAAAGAATACCATCCTGTATTAAAATATTTGTCTTAATTGCTAATCTAGTTACTATGTTTTTAAAATTTTGCCTTTAAAAAAGTAAAGGGAACTTCAGAACTCATTTTGAATGACATATTTTGGTATATTTTCCTATTTTTCTCACAGACTTTGACCACTGAACTTCGGTCTAAGGGTAGTGAAAGGGGAGGTGAAACAGAAAGAATAGTGGTTGAGTATGGGAGAGTTATGGTTATGAATGGAGATTACAAACATAAACTTAATAATAAATACATCCTACCATGAGAATATAGGTGTTGCTGATGAAAAGAGTCAAACTCTGTAAAATATTTTAAGAGATTTATTCTGAGCCAAATATGAGTGACCATGGCCTGTAACACAGCCCTCAGGTGCTGAGAACATGTGCCCAAGGTGGCTAGGGTACAACTTGGTTTTACCTATTTTATGAAGGCATGAAACATCAATCAAATACATTTAAGAAATATATTGGTTTGGTTCAGAAAGGAGGGACAACTTAAAGTGGGGGTGCTTCCAGGCTATAGGTAAATTTAAACTTTCTGGTTGACAGTTCGTTGAATTTGTCTAAAGACAGGGATCCATAGAAAGGAATGTTCAGGTTAAAGATAAAGGGTTGTGGAGACCAAGTTTTTTTGGGGAGAGGAATCTCGGCAGACTTCAGAGAGAGAGCAAGTTGTAAAATGTTTCTTATCAGACCTAGAAGGGTGCTTGGCTCTTAGTTGATTATCTCCTGGATCTGGAAAGAAAGCAAGGAAAACAGGGGGAAGGAGATGCTCTATAGAATGTGGATTTTTCCCATAAGAAACTTTGCAGGGCAATTTCAAGGTATGGCAAGAAAATATATTTAGGAGTTAAATATTTTCTTGTTGTCTCATAATGCTATGCCAGAGTCAGATTGAAAAGTAAGTCACAATATATAGGGTCAAATAAAACCCATCTGATGAGAATTTATCGTTTGTGGGGCATGAGTCCCCAGACCCCCCTTAGGTGGGAATTTGGGCAAGATTAAAAAATTAGAGCTTAGTCCTCAGTGTGATTAACCAATTTGTTTCAAGCCACATTGTTTGGCATTTCTCAATAATGTCTGAAATTTTTAGTTTAGGTTTCTTCCACTAGCTAAGAGATTTTGAGGTAACTTGATATTTACATTTGAGTGATAACTTAGTGTCTAAAATCCCTGGTGTTTTTTTCATAACCACTTCGTACTTTGTAATTGGTAACAACATTTTATTTATAAAACTTTTCCCTGCTTCTGTTTACCATAGACCTGAATTTTCTGTGCTTATCACTTTATTTCTCCTTCAGGGTAAAATATTTAAAAATACAGTTCTGTGTGCCTTAGAGCAAGAAAACTCTCAACAAAAGAATTTGTCCTTGCCCAGGAAAGTTTTGCTTTCCAGTTAAAGAGAGAGAGTTTATTTGACCAGGATAGCTCATTTTCTAATAATGGTAGATAACTAATGGTAATAATTTCAGAAATACTTCCTTTCCATAGACAGAACTTTTATTTCCGTCTGGGAAAGCAGGGAAATAGGTCTTTGAACCAGACTGCAGTTTTGGGTAATGGAGCTATATAAAGGAAAGAGATAAGTTAAATATGGGGAATAATATTCAGTGAATTAAAATCATAGTTGCAGGAACATTATTCAAATGAATCATTTGTTTCAAATTTAATAATTTATTATTTAAGTATATGGCAGTAATTTTTGGCATTTGAAAATTTTGTTTAGTTTCACAGTATCCTCTCATTCTTCTGCATGCCCAGTAATTTTATATAGTACTGGTAAAGTACCTATTATTGCACTAAATTAGGTGGTGAGAACATCTGTGATGTAAGCTTTCATTCTGCCTTTATTGTGTCAGTAAACATTTCCATGTTCTAATTAGATTCTTTTATTTTGAAGTTTATTTTAAAAATCTTGCAAGGTCCCTTGAGTTAACTGAAAATATCCTGGAATGTTGCAAAATCATGTTTGATCGTTGTTCCCACTAGCTTTCTAGTTCTTCAGGAGGCCTTAGATACCTTAAAATCTGTTAATACCATAGAATCAGTTAATATCCTTTTCTAATTTGACAGAACAGGTGATGGGATGGAAGGATGTCACGTAAGTTACACTATATGAGTTTTGGAAAAGGAATATGGAATTGCCATAGATGAAGACATTAAAGTATTGAAAATACTAAATATTTAGATATTTTGCAACTTGTAACATTTGACTTTCCTTATTAGTTGCTTATTAGTTTTGTATATCACATTGACCCAAACCTTATTAATCACAATTCATTAAGTAGGTCACCCAGTGCTTTCATTATTCTTTATTCGGTAACCATAGCTGTTGGCAACTGGTGACTTTCAGTGGGAGGGAGGATACAAAGAAAGATGATAAGAAATTTGAAATTAAGGGATAGAATAAAATTACGACAGTTAAAAGCAGGTCCCATCAAAGACATGATGGCAAGTTAGAACACCTTTCTTTTCTTGGAAAAACAACATCCAGTTTTTATTCTTAGATATCATTTTTTAAGATTTGTCGACAAGCATCTCGCTACTTTTTTTTGTCAATCTAAAATATAGTGTATTAGGTCACGATTTCTCTGAGTTACACTTCAGTCTCCTTGAGGAGATTTAAGAAACGTCTTGGTATCTTCAATATTGTAGTTACAAGCCACCTTAGTTGGTAAAGTTTTGAAATACTGTTCTTAAGTTTTTGAAATATATCTGTTTGAGGAGATTACATCCCACTGTGTGTTCAGATAAGTATTCATTGGAAACACTTTGGTAAAAATGTCACTTGAAGGCCACGTGACTTAAAGTGGAAAGGGGATATTGTAACCTTTATGAGGCATGTTCTCTGACAGTTTTTGATACCATTTTATAACTCACATAGTAGATACATTTTTAAAGCTATAAAACAAGTTTGTGGCATTCCTTTTGACTGCCTGATGAGTTATTTTTTTTAATTGCCTACATTCTCCCTCATTATCTACTAAATACCTTTTATGTATTCAGTACTGTAGCCACTAGTGACACAAAGTATGTACCTCAGAATAACTACTCTATAGTCATGCCAAAAGCTAGAAATAATTCAAATGTCTATTAAGGTTAGAATAGATAAACTGTGGTATATTTATATACTATGTGAAAGGAAAATAGACCTCAGGACCCCAAAATCACTAAGCCAAGGGAAAAGTCAAGCTGGGAACTACATCAGGCAAACCTTACTCCTATATTATTCCTAAATAAGATGGCTGAAAAGATAACAGCTACATACCTCCTTCACAATTTGCCCACAAGGAAATTCCTTGTGATCCTCACAATCTTTATCCTAAAACTAACTTCTGTTGAATTTCACTCTGACATTTAAACAGATAGCTTATGTTCATAGGTGCTGGACAGAAAGCCATCCCTCTGGGCTGGGCGTGGTGGCTCACACCTGTAATTCCAGCACTTTGGGAGGCCAAGGTGGGCAGATCACTTGAGGCCAGGAACTGGAGATCAGCCTGTCCAACATGGCGAAACTCTGTCCCTACAAAAAATAGAAAAATTAGCTGGGCATATTGCCACATGCCTGTAGTCCAAGCTACTCGGGAGGCTGAGGCATGAGAATCGCTTCAACCTGGGAAGCTGAGGTTTCAGTGAGTGGAGATGGTGCCACTGCAATACAGCCTGGGCGACAAAGGAGAGACTGGCTCAAACACCCCTCCCCTGCCCGCAAAAAGGAAGTCATCCCTCTGCTAACCTCAGACAAATGCACATCTGATTACTTCCTCTGCCCTATTGTTTATGTGAAAATGCAGATTCACTGAGCCAGACTAAACTGTGTATTCAGTAGAAGGGTGAGCCAGACTAAACTGTGTATTCAGTAGAAGGCTGATCAGGTACTCAAAAGAATGCAACCTTTTGTCTGTTATCTACCTATGACCTGGAAGACCTCGCCTACATCCACCTCCTGTCCCCTCCCCACCACCACCCTGCCCCCTAGAAGTTTAGAGTTGTCCTGTCTTACCTTGGTCAGAACCAGTGTACATCTTACACATATTGATTGATATCCCATGTCTCCTCAAAATGTATAAAAGTAAGTCATACCCCGACCACCTTGGGCATGTATGGTGAGAACCTCCTGAGTCTGTGTCTGCGCATTCTTAACCTCGGCAAAATAAACTTTCTGAATTGGTTGCGATGAGACCTGTCTCAGATATTTTGGGTTCACAAATAGAATACAGCAATGAGAATAATGGGCTATTTAGACTCTGATTACACATAACACTAATGGATGTTAATAAAATTGAAACCAGACACACAATATATAATATTCAATTTATATAAAGTTCAAAAGTAATCTTGTGTATTAGAAGTCAAGAAGTTACTTTTACTTGAGGGTTTTTTTGTTTTTGTTTTTGTTTTTTTGAGAAGGAGTCTTGCTCTGTCGCCCAGGCTGTAGTGCAGTGGTGCGATCTCGGCTCACTGCAAGCTCCACCTCCCGGGTTCACGCCATTCTCCTGCCTCAGCCTCCAAGTAGCTGGTACTACAGGTGCCCGCCACCACGCCCAGCTAATTTTTTGTATTTTTAGTAGAGACGGGGTTTCGCCGTGTTAGTCAGGATGAGCTTGATCTCTTGACCTCGTGATCCACCAGCCTCGGACTCCCAAAGTGTTGGGATTACAGGCGTGAGCCACCGCGCCCGGCCTACTTGAGGGGTTTTGACTGAAAGGCGACACAGAGAATCTTGTGAAGTTCAGGTTATGTTCTGTTTCTTGATTTGGGTGCTATTTACTAGAATGCATTCACCTTGTGAAAATTCATTGAACTGTAACTTATATTTTGTATCCTTTTCTGAATGTAGTCTTGTATCAACAATAATGTTTAAGTAGGGCAAGAAAAGCTTATGGGCAGAGAGAGGTTACTCAGGAGGTGAAAGAAAAAGAGGAGAAGAGTGACAGAACCTTGGGGAACAGAAAAACCACACAGACATTCGTATTTCCCTCCCCATTTTTCTTAGGACTCTTTCCAGCCTTTTGCCTGAAAGCTTTGCAGAAAGTAAGAATAATGTTAAGAATAAAATTTCTGTTAGAGAGTGGGATTGCTCTTGTAGCATTTCTGCATAGAGGCTGTTTCCAAAGGGACACTTGGACTATATTTATTCTTAGATTTTGAAAAAGTTAAGAGTTGGAGAATGAAGAAGCATGTGATGCAAAAGACTACCTGGAGGCAGGAGATGGTGCAAAATACAGAGCAGCATTTTTTCTAAGCTTTCCTATTGTATTAGAACACAGTAAATATACGGAAATTATGCCATTGTCTCTCAGTGATATATACTGAAATGATATGCTTTGTGAATTATTTGGTTTGAGAAGGCGGGAAAAATGAAAGGAATTCCATACTGATCATTTCCTGAAAGAGTGCTTTTAGAAATGGGGAAGTGGCCAGGCGGGGCGGCTGATGGGGCGGCTGACGCCTATAATCCCAAGCACTTTGGGAGGCCAAGGTGGGTGGATCATTTGAGGTCAGGAGTTCGAGACTGGCCTGGCCAGCATGGTGAAATCCTGCCTCTACTAAAAATACAAACATTAGCCTGGCATGGTCGTGGGCACCTGTAGTCTCAGGTAATTAGGAGGCTGAGATATGATAATCATTTGAAGCCAGGGGGCAGTGGTTGCAGTGAGCTGACACTATACTCCAGCCTGGGCAACAGGGTGAAACTCTGTCTCAAAAAAAAAAGAAAGAAAGAAATGGGGAAGTATTCCCAGTTCCACAGAAGGGTCCATTACTACAGCCTATTAACACATAATGAGTGCCTATTCATCTGTACTACTGCATACTTATTTCTCTTTTCCAGAAATGGCAAAAAGTCTTTTGAAGACATCTTCTCTGTCTGGAAGGACAAAATTGCTACATCAAACAGGATTGTCACTTTATAGTACATCCCATGGATTTTATGAGGAAGAAGTGAAAAAAAAACTTCAGCAGTTTCCTGGTGGATCCATTGACCTTCAGAAAGAAGACAGTGGCATTGGCATTCTTACTCTGAACAATCCAAGTAAAATGAATGCCTTCTCAGGTATTGGGGATCTTTTTATTCCTGAAGAATGACACTAAATCTAACCTGTTATCACATATTTTTTTATCCTTGCTCTGGTGACAGAATGTTTTAAAGTCCTGGTACTCTTGGTAGAACATGAAAAAAATAACAAAAACAACAACTCTGTAATATGAACCAGAAACACTTTAAGTAATTTTTAATAATTATGGATATTTGAATGCTTTCAGAAAATTCATTAATACAGATAATAATAAAAAGGAAACCTAAATTAATCTTGATTATATTTTCCATTGAAATTCATTAACTGTTTAATAACTTCTTTGTTTTCAGCTAATTCTTCTAGGAAACAAGGAGGAAGAAGTTTCAAAGAGTTCCTGAAACTAAAGAGAAAAGCCTGTTAATGAAAAGAATTATTTAGCTGAATTTTTTTCTATGAATTGAGATAAAATCAGTGTTAGTTTTTAACCTTTTAATTCAATGGTTACAGAAGAAAAACGGCACTTGTCTAGCTGTGGACCCTTCCCTAACTCTTAGATACTAGTGAATGCCTTCTATTTTCTAGTCAACACTCTTAGCATATAAGAATTTTATATTTAAGAGAACTGAAGATGCAGGACATGTGGTACTTTGTAATTTTTGCTGAAGCTCAAATTTGAATTATGCTACAACTATGTTATGCAAGAGCTAATGAGTAGCCTTGTTGAATATTCACCACTCCTATTTTCAAGTTGATTTTACTAATCTCCCCTTTTCAGTTATGCACTTCATGATTATAATCTTTAGTAGCATTTGAAATTTGGGGCTCAGAAAATCTCACAAAATTTTCATATATCTACTTTATATACAGTCGTACTATAGACATAATTCAATAGTATGTAAACTTTTTGTAAATTACCAGTGGTGAGTCTTTAAACCCAAGATGACTTTTCTCTCCACTTATCAGAATTCAGAGAGATTTCTCTGTACCATTGCTGACAATGGAAACATAAGAAACAAAGGTGAGCCACATGCGCAATTTTAAATATTCTAGTTGCCATAGTTTAAAAAAATAAAAAAAGGTAAAATTAATTTTAACAATTCACTTATAACTCAGTATATCCAAAATATTTTTTTCAATATGTCACTAATCTAATAATTATGAGGTATTTTTCTTTTTATTTTCACACTAAGTCTCTGAAATCTGATATTTATTTTATACTTATGACACATCTCAATTTGGACTAGCCACATATCAAGTGCTCAATATATACAGGTGACTAGTGACTACCTTATGAGACTCTGTAGTTCTATATGTTCTGTTGGTTTAGGGAGTAAAAACCAATTTAATATTAGTCCAGGAAAAACAGAAATTGAAAGGTAAAATTTCTCTAGAAAGTTAAATTTGGATCAATAGTGATGATTTGTTTCTGAAAAGTTACAAATAATTTTTCATTCAATTAGAAACAAATATTATTTTGATGCATAATATATAAAACTAATAAAAGGAGTCGTGCTTTGATTTGGGTAATGATATTTGGTGAAGTTGGATTGAGACAGGATGAATGAGCACTCAGGGCCCTTGTTTAAAAATCATTCAGTTAGATATTCTTTAAGGTCTCTTCCATCTTTTGAGGTTTACTTTGCGAAGTTGAAAAGATGAGTTTAATAGTAAACTACTGGTATGGATTTTTCTTATTCTCATAGCCAGCGTTTCAGCATCGTAGGAAAGGGTTAAAAAAATCAGCACCATAGGAAAGGTTTTAAAACAAAGGCCAGCATTGTTTATTTATTTAACTATTTTTATTTTATTTATTTATTTATTTTTGAGACAGAGTCTGGCTCTGTCACCCAGCCTGGAGTGCAGTGGTGCGATCTCAGCTCACTGCTAGCTCTGCCTCCCAGGTTCATGCCATTCTTCTGCCTCAGCCTCCCAAGTAGCTGGGACTACAGGTGCCTGCCACCACGCCTGGCTAGTTTTTTAATATTTTTGGTAGAGATGGGGTTTCACCATGTTAGCCAGGATGGTCTCGATCTCCTGACCTCGTGATCCACCTGCCTCCACCTCCAAAGTGCTGTGATTACAGGTGTGAGCCACCGCACCTGATCTGTTTTTAAGAAGCTTAAATATTATGAATGATTAAAGGCGCATATTAACCTATACAGATTTATTCTTATACTAAAAGTGTGGGTTTCTTCTTTCCCTTACTAGACTGTAAATCACTTGAAACAAAAGAATGATATTTCTGAAGCATCTAGGACATCCTTGGAAAGGGTTACAGTTTTAAATGCAGTCATTTGTTGCTTTGTGATGGGGATGCATTCTAAGAAATACGTTAGGTGATTTTGTCATTGTGTGAACATTATAGGGTGTACTTACACCCATAACCTATTACATACCTATACCATATGAAATAGCTTGCTGCTCCTAGGCTACAAACCTATTCAGTGTGTTACTTCCTGAATACTATAGGCAGCTGTAATACAAACATGTGAATAATGCGTTGTACTACATTACAATGACTATGATGGTTACTAGGTGATAGGAATTTTTTAGCTCTGTTTTAATCTTGGAACCACCATAGTATATGTGATATATTGTTGATGCATGACTGTAGGTCATAATTAGCCATAAGAAAGAATAGCTACGTTAGTCATTTGTGAGTTAGTACCATTAATATAACATTTATTGTGGAACCACCTCACTCCTGGTTACTTCAGAAAATGGCAAAGAAAATAAGTTTTTGACATTGTGGGATTTATATTCCAAAGAAGTGTACATAATTTAATGGGGCCATGTTTTGGAACCTTGTGGTACTAATTTTTTGCCAGTTTTTAACCCTCTGTTATGATCTTTATACACTGGCTTCTAAAAGCATTGCCTAGGCAGAGGAAAATAAAACTAGTCATGTTGAAAACCGTGAACTGTATGAACTTGGAAGATCACCAAAGATAAGCATATCTAAAAGTTATTGATTAGATCTTAAAATGCCAGTCCCAGCTGTTTCTGTTTAAATTTGTCTATTATAAAGAAGCTCCAGTAGAACTTTGGAGTGATATCAAGGTAACAATCTATAAATCATAGAATTAATGGTTGGTAGGCCTGTGAAGAACTTCCATCGTATGACTCAAGCCCCTCAGAGGACAGTTTGTTAACCATAGAGAAAGATGGTATTTATTACTCATTTCCTCAACTAACATCCTATTCTGATGTCAGTAGTATAGGAATTGCACTTTGTTCTGTATATCGTGTGTCCAGTGTATCATAAGTCTCACAGTCATGTTATACCCATAAAGCTTTATTGACTGAGACATGCATTGCTGAGAAGTCAGGTCTATGTCTTATCTCTACCCTAAGAAATAATTTTTTCTTATTACCATATCATTTTCTTATTCTTAGGACAGCATGGTATATTCTTATTCTTCTACATCATCATATATTTGTGTGATTTCTTAAGATAGATGGAGAGATAGACACATAATAAATTTACACTTACAATGCAGGGCCTGCCATATATATCTCTCCTGTATACTCCATAGTGCCAGTGCAGTAGGCATTCGATAGACATTCAGTAAATATTTATAAAATATAGGACCTAAGAGTATGCTTGACACCTTATGATTTATAAATTATTTCTATTTTTGCAGTCACCTTCATATATTTGTGATTTCCCCCTCCCATCTCTGGCAGGTGTTATGATGCTACAACTTCTGGAAAAAGTCATTGAATTGGAAAATTGGACAGAGGGGAAAGGCCTCATTGTCCGTGGGGCAAAAAATACTTTCTCTTCAGGATCTGATCTGAATGCTGTGAAATCACTAGGAACTCCAGAGGCAAGTGTTATATGAATTATGCATTAGATTCTACATGTTTATTAGACATGTATGACTGTGACATTTATATTTTACTAATGGTTATTATGATGACTTTAATAACTTCCAAAGGATTATAGGATATTTTGGTTTGTTTTCTTTTTTAGAATTATAGGAGGAACAATATAACAAGCAAATGATTCTGAGGTTTTATTAGTAGTATATCTGCAAAGGGCTCTTGTTAAAAGCTTTGAAATTACTATAATTTCTAGTTTAGCAGAACACTCTCAGTTGTGTTAGATATTTTGGAGGGATTCTCTCTCTTTCTTGCTGTTAATGTTGCTCCAGCCCCCTCAAATGCCCCACTTTGTCTCTTTATTTTTAAGGTGAATTGATTTCTTTTTTAAAAATATTTTTAAGTTTAGAAAAATTTTAAATTTACAGAAAAGGTGCAGATGGAATACAGAGTTCCTATGCACCCTGCATCCGGTTTCCCCTTTTGTTAACATCTCATATTCCTGTGGTACATAGATTTGTTGCTACTAATGAACCAATGTAGTAGTCTGTTCTCACACTGCTATGAAGATCTACCTAAGACTGGGTAATTTTTGAAGAAAAGACATTTCATTGACTTAGAGTTCTGCACGCTATACAGGAAGCATGCCTGGTAGGCCTCAGGAAACTTACAGTTACGGTGCAAAGGAAAGGTGAAGCAAGCACATCTTACCATGGTGGAGCCGGAGGGCGGGGGGAGGTGCCACACATTTTTAAACAACAAGGTCTCATGAGAACTCATTCACTATCACAAGAACAGCAAGGGGGAAATCCACCCCCACAATCCAGTCACCTCCCACCAGGCCCCTCCTTCATCCTTCAACACTGGAAATTACAATTTGACATGAGATTTGGTTGGGGGACACAGAGCCAAACCATATCATCCAACATTGGTACTTTACTATTAATGAAACTCTGCTGTATGATTTCATTTATATATGGAATCTAAAATAGTGAAACTCTGCCTAGCATGGTGGCTCACACCTATAAAATGAGTGCTTTGGTAGGCTGAGATGGGAGGATTGCCTGAGACCAGGAGTTCAACACTAGCCTGGACAACATAGCCAGTCCTTGTCTCTACAAAAAAATAAAAAAATTAGCTGGGTTTGCTGGCACATACCTGTAGTCCCAGCTACTTGGGAGGCTGAGGTGGGAAGGCTGCTTGAGTCCAGGAGCTTAAGGCTTCATTGAGCCATGTTGGTGTCACTGCACTCCAGCCTGGGTGACAGAGTGAGACCCTGTCAAAAAAAAAAAAAAATAAAATTCAGAGAAGCCAAGACTGGAATGGTGATTGTCAGGGGCTTGGTGGTGGGGATGGGCAGGGATTGATGTTGAGTGTTCTTGTTACACATACACACAAAATTAATATTAATAATAATAAAAGGGGTGGGAGGAAACTTTGGGAGGTAGTGTATATGTCTAGGGCCTTGATGGTGGTGATGGTTTAATGGGTGTATACTTGTCCACAGACTCATCAAGTTGTATACACTAAATATGTACAGCTTTTTACCTGATAATGATAATTCAACAAAGTAGTTAAAAATAGAAAAAAGAAACTCCACACTTCATTCATATTTCAGTACTTTTTCTACTGGTGCCCCTTTTCTGCTTCAGGATCAAATCTGGGATACCACAGTACCTTTAGCTGTCATGTTTCAGATTCCTCTTATCTATGACAGTTTCTCAGGCTTACCTTGTTTTTCATGACCTTGGCAGTTTTGAAGAGTACTAGTTAGATATTCTGCAGAATATCCTTCAAATGGAATTTGGTGTTTTTCTCATATTAGACTGGGGTTGTGGGATTCTGAGAGAAAGACCAGAGGTAAGCTTCTGTTTTCATCACATCACATCAAGGGAATATGCTGTCAAGGTGACTTACCACTAATGATGTTAACCTTGGTCACCTGGCCAAGGTAGTGTTTGCCTGGTTACTCTATTTTAAATTTACTTTCCATACTCCACTCCTTGGAAGCAAGTCACTAAGTTTAGTCTACACTCAAGGGGGAAGGGAAAATAAATTCCATCTCCTGGAGGGGGGACATATATGTCCATTATTCTTATGTAAGGGGGATTTGGGTCTTCTCCCCCATTTATTCATATACTTATTTATTCAGTTATTTATATCAATATGCACTCATGGATATTTATTTTATATTCATTATTCATTTTGTTGCTCAAATTGTTCCAGCTTTGGCCATTGGGAGCCCAAAGACCAAAGGCCCAAAGTCCTGTCTTCCTTTGACACATCCTTTTGTTTTTTGAGTATTCCCTTACTTTCTAGTATTATAAGATACTCCACGTTAATCTTGAATTTTCCCTGCTCCAATTATGTAATGAGTGATTTCTTCAAGGAGTCCTGGTTATGGAAAATGGTAGAGGATGGTGTTAGAAACTAAGATCTAGGTGTTAGGTGTTTCTTTTTTTCAAGTACATTGATATAGTACATTCCTGGGTTAGTTGAGCCTACCTGTGACTATAATAGGATCAAGAAAAGCTCTTAATGCAGAGTGAGACGTCTTGGGTTTAGACATAGGTCTGCTACTCAGCGCCACTCAACTAAATGAGAAAGTTGCTCAGCTTCCTCTTAGCCTTAGCTCCATGGGATATGTAAAATCTATCTCACTAAAATCTATTGAGGATTGAGTTAGCTATTCTAAAGTGCTTTGTAAGCTAGAGGGAGCTACTATAACATTTTAAATAGGTAATATAAATTAATAATATTAAGATGATAGATCAGCCAGGTGTGGTGGCTCATGCCTGTAATCCCAGCACTTTGGGAGGCCGAGGTGGGCGGATCACGAGGTCAGGAGATCAAGACCATCCTGGCCTACACAGTGAAACCCCGTCTCTGCAAAAATACAAAAACAAAAAATTAGCTGGGCGTGGTATCAGGCGCCTGTAGTCCCAGCTACTCGGGAGGCTGAGGCAGGAGAATGATGTGAACCCAGGAGGCAGAGCTTGTAGTGAGCCGAGATCGCGCCACTGCACTCCAGCCTGGGCGACAGAGTAAGACTCCGTCTCAAAAAAAAAAAAAACAAACAAACAAAAAAAGATGATAGATCAAATTCAATATCATCACTTTTCCTTTAGCAGTCATATGAAGTCAGTACTTTTGTTATTGTTGTTTATTTGTTTCGCTTTTTAAAGATGAGGGTGCAGTAGTGTGAAGGGCTGAAAAAAATGAAGGACAGGAAGATTAGCAATGAACAAAGATGGTCATCATTAAAATCAGCAAGAATTTGAATGCTTTTAAGTGGAAGCTCTGTGGCATCTCATGATAAGAAGTTTTACATGAGGTATGTACATAAAGCACCTAGTTCTGGCACATAGTAAAGTTCAAGAAGTAGTAACAACTTTAAAAATATGCTTTTGAATTACTCTGATAGAGTAAAAATGCTGTCATCTTCCTTTATCAATCTTACAAGGAACCTGTTTTTCATGAATTCAGTGCTCCTTCCCCCTCTACCACATCTTCTAGGAGAAAAAAAGGAAGGAAATGAAATTAGAAAGGGAAAAAAGTAAGTAATATTTGTTTCCATTTAATTATAGATGTGGGCTGTAGGTGGGTAATAAAGTTTTCATGATATTATACAAGTCTTATACCACTATGTGTAGTATATGATTATTATTTGCATATGTGAGAAAGAATCTTTCAGATAATCAGAACACTGGCTTTGATAAACTTGGATTTGAAAGCTGGTTTCAATACTTTCTGGCTAAGTGATTAGGCAAGTCACTTAATCTTTCTAAATCTTATTTTCCTAATCTATAAATGAGGATTATTGTAGATATTTCGCTGAGCTATTGTGAGGATTCAAGATAATATATACAAAGTGCCTACTAGCGCTGTATCTGAAAAAGGTAGCTATTATTTTTATTTCAAAGATCTTGAGATTAATAAACATTTTCATTAATGAGATGATGCATAATTTGTAGCACTCCACTAGACTTAAATTTGTGATGTATCTGAATGGTTATAGCACTAATCTGGAAATTTGAAAAGACAGTTTTTTTCCCCCAAGATCTAATTATTAGCTATGTCACCTGCAAGTCATTCGATTATACAGGTTGAGTATCCCTTATCCAAAATGCTTGGAACTATAAGTATTTCAGATTTTACATTTTTTCAGATTTTGGAGTATTTGTATATGTGTATATATATATAATGAGATATCCTGGGAATGGAACCCAACTCTAAACAAAAAATTCACTTATATTTCATATACACCTTAAACACACAGCCTAAAGGTAATTTTATACAGTGTTTTCAATAATTTTTTACATGAAACAAAGTTTGTGTACATGAGGTCAGCTGTGGAATTTTCCACTTATGGTATCATGTCAGCACTCAAAAAGTTAGATTTTGGAGCTTTTAGATTTCAGATTTTAGATTTTGGAGTGTTTAGATTTCAGATTTTCATAGCTCAACCTATATATATGTATTTTTCATCTCTCGAATGGTTGTATCACTGTTCACCTTAGTTCATGAAAGACACTGTTAAAGACAGAATAATATAATAGACTCTTGTGGGTTTGATAGAAGCTGGTTAGGAAAACATCTCTAGTAAGATGAAGGGTTATTTTACTTTCTTATTTTCTTCTAGTTAGAAGGTTGTTTCTGCCTCTTTAGATCATATGGCCACTATTCTTTTTCTCTATATTTAAAGATGGAAGTGGAAACATGCTCATTGCTTTATATATACATCATTATATATATGTAGTATATATACATCATTGGTCTGGCGTAAGTCATGCAGGAAAACATGGAGAGAGTTTTTATTCCAGCTTCAAATAAGGAATCACTTAGTAAAGTTTATTCTTTCTAGTGCCTGCATTCTCCAAGTAATCTGCTCTTTTCAACGCCTGAAGTAAATCTTGATTGACAGCTGAGGAGTAGTATTACTGCAAGTGTTTGTCACTTGTTGCTATATGCATCTGCCAGTCTCATCAAGGAAATGTGGAATTGT